TGGAGTTGTAGCTTTGGGAGGGAATTTGACCTTTAGGGTTGGTGCTTTGGAAGGATTTTTTCCAGATAAAGGGAAAGTGAAAATGAGGAAGGCGGAGGCGGTACGCCAATTGCATCATTTTGTTGGTACCATAGGGTTCTTTATGTTTTACTTTTGGTTAAAACCCCTTTTTGGTCCCTAAACTATTGCACGGACTTTCGATTTGGTTCCTGAACTAAAAAAATCCCTGATTTGGTTTTTACTGTTTACCATTTTTACCCCGATTTGATCCTTCCGTTAAAAATTGTGTGACGTGACCTGTTACTTCACGATTACCGAATGACATGTCATATAGTAATCCACGTGGAAGATAATATAGCCAAAGAGTGATGATGTGGAAAAAATAATAATATAAAAAAATATTATGAAAAATAAAAGTTAAAATTTTTTTTTCTTTTTTCTTTCTCCTTCTCCTTTCCCTTTCTCTTTCTCCTTTCTCTTTCTCCTTCCCCTTTCCCTTCTCTTTCCCCTCCTGCTGGGTTCCTTCGAACCCACCCAGGCGCTAGGTTCGCAAGGAACTGAACCCAGCATGCTTGCCTAGGTTGGGTTCCATGGAACCCAACCCCGGGTTTGACGGAACCCAAGCACTGGGTTCCCTTGAACCCATGCCTGGGTTCTTCGAACCAGCTGGGTTCCATGGAACCCAAGCGTGGGTTCTGTCGAACCCAGGCGTGGGTTCGAAGAACCCAACACGCTTGGGTTCCTCGAACCAAGGGGTAAAAAATATATTTTTTTTTCTGTGGGTTCGGTGTTTGATGATGATGTGTTTGATGATGATGAAGAAAGCAAGGCAAGGAAGAGGAAGGAAAAAAAAAAATGGCGCTGTTGGGTTCGATTCAACCCAGGTGCTGGGTTTGTTTGTTGGAGGAAGAAGATGATGGCAAATTTGTAATTTTGGTGGGCTCCACTTTTGTTGGCTTGGGCAAGAGCATGAGATGTCACGTTGCCATGTCATTATTTATTCATTTATACAATTGACGTGTCTCAAATGTTTGACATGTCATTAAATTGTCGTAAGATAACGGTGATATTTTAACGGAAGGACCAAATCGGGATAAAAATGGTAAACAATAGGGACTAAATCAGGAATGTTTTTAGTTTAGGAATCAAATCGGGGGTTCGTACAATAGTTCAGGGACCAAAAAGGGGTTTTAACCTTTACTTTTTTGGGCCAAAAGACTTGGGCCTTAATTCTGTTAGTCAGGAGGCTCTATTCTGTTTTCGGTTATTAGGCCTCCTGACCAATACCAAACCGAAAATCCATCGGTTTAATTCTGTTAGTCAGGAGGCCCTATTCAGTTTTTGGTTATTGGGTCTCCTGACCAATACCAAACCGAAAATCCATCGGTTTTTCACCAAAACCAATTCTTTCAATCCAAATCACTTTTTTGGTTTCGGTTTTTGGTTAACCAACCGAATGGCCACCCATTGTCTTCTTTAATTACAAATTTTTACCTAATTTTTCTTTTGTCTCCTAATTTAATTAATAATATTACACTTTATACCTATTTTTCCCTTCACAATTTCCCTCCTCGAACATATGTCAGCTGTATTGCACAGTGTTAACGGATTGCTCTTCTACAGGACATCAGGTGTGCTACTATTTTTTTGAATTTTACTTTGGCTTTGCGTGTATGCTCTATTTTTGCAAGTTCTCCTTTTGTGCACTGCAATATGATCACATCTTTGCAACAAAGTTAAATAGCACATTGACTATAGCTTTATATATCATTCCATTAAAGGGGCTTCTCTATGGTTGTGTTTGGTTAGTTGAAATGTGAGATACTTCAAATGGGAGAAGGATCTTTGAATTTAATTTGCTTAAAGCAAAAATCTTGGAACTTCTTTTATGTGATAACTGGTGGTCATGTATTTTGGGATCTAGTTTTTGATTGTATTCTTTGGAGTTATTTGGAGAAAGTGGAACCAATGAGGAAATTTGCAAATATTTACTCCTTCAAACTATTATATGTCATTTGGGTTGGAAGAAAAACAATTAGTTTGGGCAGCCATTTATAAATTATTTTAATTTATTTGGTAGAACCTAAGTGATTGTGCTCTAATTCATATGTTTTTGCCCTTTCTGCTATTTCAAATCTCATTTAACTGATTTGAAGTTTAGACATATCAAACAGAGCAAGGGTGTTACTATCAAGGTGGAGCAAAATATTTGCAAGGAGTCAGGAGATGAAGAAACCCAATGGTTTGAAGTCATCTGCTGAAGCATAGAATGAGTTGTTGCTAAAGCAGAGGCAAGTTTCTTTGCCTCGTGTATTTTCAGGTTTTGTTTTAATTCAGTTATTATCGTAGTTTGACCTTGCAGTGTCAGTGAAATTATGGTAATGGGAGATGAATCATGGCAATCAAACATTGACAACTCTTTAAGTTTGATAGTAAATGAACTAAAATATGTTAAACTTGACAATTTGTTAGTCCTCTGTCTTCTAATAAATTTAACTATATCCCAGGAAGGGGTTCTTGTTTCCCCAAATGTCAGGTGAGGATGCATACATGTCTGTTACAGTCTGACATTTATTCTATTTGGCTTGTTGGAATTGTGTATATAAGGTAATTTATGAGTATTGAGGGTAAATTTCTTCTTCAGGAAACTGGAATCTCCACAACCTCTGAAATTATTGCCAGCATCCACTGACGATTCATAAAGGAAGCACATCTAGGTGCATCAACCTCCTGTATCCTTGGACATTGTTTTCTTTTTTTTTTCTTTTTTTTTTTTGTTGGATAGGACACTCATACTGTTTTGCTTAGAAGCATCAGAGCAAATGAAAATTTAAAATTCATTAGCTAAGAATGGAGTCTGTTATGACGTTATCAAGTTATATATGACAGAGAAATGCTATTGAATATAGAATTTATTAATTAAATTAGTTGTATGCCATTAATAACATTCTAACT